AAGGAAGAGTAAGGCTATTCCGGTCCAGAGACAACTCGGAGTTATGCCGGTCTCAGAGTTAGTCCGGTCGCAGTATGTTCTGAGAAGGCCGGTGTCGGAGTTAGTCCGGTCGTGACTTACATTGGTTAGGTCGGTCCGAACTTGTTACTTATCTAAGCGCATCAAGGTCGAACAGGGCAGCCGAAGTAAAGAGTTGGAGGAGAAGACCGAGCTAAGGATAGTTCGGCCTTCTATGTGGCTCAGCATAGCCAGTGTTATTTCGGCCGTGTGGTAGTTCGGCTATGGAGAAAACCATCCCACTTGGTTTAAGCGGTGGGGGAGGGTGTAAAAGGATAAGCATTATCCTTAAGAGATTGAATCCTAGGAGGACTCTGTATGGAGAAATACAAGTCCTACTAGGATTGTGCCATATGAAACTTATAAAAGCTCACAAGCATCACCTTGGAGGAGGTAATTGAACACAATCTTTTTGAGAACTTAGAGCTTTGTCTATTTGTCAAGCTTACTGACTTAGGCATCGGAGAGGTTTCCGGCACACACCCGCCGGCTAGCTCACGTTTGTGTTTTCAAGTGACAAAGCGACGTCGTACGGAGGAGCGTGGACTTGGTCAACAGGATTATACGAGGAGAATTATTTCCTCCCCGTACACTAAGCTAAGAGGTTTTTAATTTCTTCTTTTAGTTTCTCTTGTATTTATTATTCTTATTATTCCTTTTTTCTGGTATATTATTATTATTATTAATATACAGTATATTAGTAATAATACTGTATATTATTTTTAATTTCTCCTTTAGATTATACTGCATATTATTATTATTATTATTATTATTAGTTTCTCTGGTAGAAAAGGTAAGATTATTGTATTAATGTTGCATAGGTGAACTTTTCAATTGTTGTTCTATCCTACCATATAAAAAATTTAATGTTTTATCCTAATTATGTATGCTTAAGAATTTACATTGTAGGTTGGTGATTGGTTTGGAACCAATTTGCCAGTAGTTAAGCTTTTTGTAATCTTGTTCGGTAGATCAGTAAATTCTGTCACGAGGGTTCATTTTGCTTCCATTATATGTGAGGTGCACTTGATTAGAGGCCTATTGATGTAGGATGACTTTAGGAAACTTGGGTTAATGCTGCCTACAATAAGCATTGTTATGGATTTTAGTCATGGAAAGTTTCTAGGATTTGGGTTCTAAGAGGTAAAAGAAAGATTTATGTGTTTATAAGAAAGGAGGGAGTTAAAATGGAATAAAAAAATGGATTCTCTGGTGTTTACATATATACAAAAGAAGATGGGTAGATCTACCTATTATAACCCATGTATCTGGGTTTTTATTTTTTTAATGTCCTGTAATATTTGTTCACATTGAAAAATGGTACCAATTTTATATCGTTTATAAATTGTCCTTTCTACATTAAAGTACAATGAAGTACTACTGAAATTCAAGGACCTAGGTAAGTAAGTGTGAATGGAACTAATGATATTCTCACTAGCTATGTAGGCAATGAGGGGTGTGAATATGTCCTAAGGCGTATTCTTCGTCGAGATGTACGTTATGGAACTGAAGTCCTAAAAGCTCAACCTGGATTCTTCAATGGGTAGGAATGAAAAACTAGCCTGTAATGTTTGTTAATTATTGTTTGTAATTGCTGCAATGTATTATAGTTCTACTTTATATGGTGCCATGTTTAACTTTACATTTATTATCCCTAATTGCTGTATTTTTTAGATTACGTATGTTGTTCCTAATTGATATATATCATCTCTTCTAGAGGTTGCTTAATAATTGTGTGGAAATCAGGCATGTAAAGGTGGGGGTGCAAGTGATGGGTGACATATTTCCAGAGCTAAGACACCATGAAGTGCATATCAGGGACACAATTGTAACAGAGGAAACAACTTTTGGCAAGACATTGCTTAATGTAAGCTGAGCTATGTCTACAATGTTTTAGGCTTTTAGCTCTACTTTGTAGATAAGTTGAATTTGCTTCCATTTAAGCCTTTGTTTGATGTTTGGCTTGGACGTTCGTGTTTGTGGAACATTTCTGAGAGAGTTTGTAGTTGGGTTGAATGAAATCTTGTTTTGACATCTTACTGGACATCTTGTTTGGATTTCTTAGCTTTTTTTTAAAAAAAATGTTATTGTTCCTTAATTGTGGTTGGGTTGATTGAATTTTGTTCGATATTGGATTGACTGGTTATAAACAAAAATGGATTGTTCTCAACAAAAAAAAAAAGAAGAGACTTGGCGACTAAAAAATTGGTCGGCAAATTCTACACTTTTGCGACTAAAATCATTGGTCGGCAATTTTTTACCTTTTGGCGACTAAATTGTTAGTCGGCGATTCCTCGACTTTTGGCAACTAATCTATTTGGTCGTGGAATGTGACAATTGGCGACTAAGATATTTGTTCGGGAAAATATCACTTTTCGCGACCAAAATGTTTTAGCGACAAAATGGGTTAGTCGCAGTAATGATATATTTAGCGACCAAAAAGTTAGTCGGTAACTCCAACTTTTCCCGACCAACCAAAATATTGGTCGCGAATTACTTTTTGCCGACCCTCAATTGGCGACCAAAGTAGCGACTATAAAAATTGGTCGCGGATAACTTTTGCCGACTAAAAATGAGCTTTTAACGACCAATTTTTTTGTTGCCAAAAGTGTTAATTCTTGTAGTAAAAAATTATTATTTTCCAACATGAAAGCCTCACTCGACTAGGAAGGGCTAAAGAGAAAGGGATTAGTTGGGTACCAAGCATTGCATAAAGTGGTTGTGCCTAGTGGTTCTTCTAGGGGCCACACCCCCAGCCACTACCACTATTACTTATTGAGCTCTAATTTATGAGATGAATTAGGTGGTGATTTGTGTCATTATAAAGGTTGCAACTTTTACTGTAACTCACAAAGGCTATATTAATTACATTTGTGTATATGTTACATTTGTATTGAACACAAGTGATACTTGCATCAAACTAAGTAGCAGTTTTGAGTCACGATAAGAAAGGTTGAGGGTTTGGGTGGATGTGGTGGCTAGGGATTAGATGGACGAGTTTATTAAGGCCCCGTTTGAGAACCCTCACATTTAGTTAAAAAGTCAAAAAGCTATTAAAAAAGTCAAAAAGTTAACAACCTATACCAAAAAGTCAAAGATTCTCTTTTCTCTCTACTTTTTGCACATCTTTTCATAAAAAGTCAAAAAGTCATCCTAAACATACTAGTTTTTTTTAGCTCATATTTTAGCTAAATAGCCAAAAAATTACTAAATTAGCCTGTTCCCAAACGAGACCTAAGTGGTATGGAAAGGAGAAGGAGTGTTGGCTAGGGATTAAGTGGACGAGATTTGTTAGGTGGTATAAGAAGGAGAAGAAGTGTCAGGGAAAATCATGGTGGGAATGATGGAAAAGGGACAAGGTCCCGTTTGTTTTCAAAGGTAGAATGGAAGAGATTTATAGTGAGGGGATTAATAGTTAGGAGATTAAGTAAAATTGTGTTTGTTTTGATGATAGTTGTTAGTGTAGGAATTGTTAAATTATTTTTATATAAAATAATAAAACAAATAAAAAAATATAAAAAATTAAACATTAATATTTTAAAAAAAAATCTCAATATATAAATAATAAAAAAAAAAAATTCTAATCCTCTCACTATTTTTCTAATACTATCTCTACCTCCTCCTTCCCAATTCCTCTTCCAAGGCCTTTACTAATATCAAGGGATTAGGAGTCTCCTTCCCATCTCTCAAAACAAACACCCTATATAGTAGTCCCATCTCACTATTAAACCTAATCTCCTCTTTATAATTCTAAACAAACGGGGCTAATGTGTACGGAAGGGTTGGGGATGGCAATTTACAAAGGCCCGTGGTCGTTGGCTACGGTGGTAAGAGTGGAAAGGCATGGGTTGGGGTGGCCGTTTATATAGGTGGTGGGTAGTGTTGGGCATAAAGAAGGAAAAGAGAAGGGAGATTTTGTTATTTAAAAAAATTACTACCTATCTGTAATTATATTTTAACATTTATTTATTTATTTTTTTTATAATTTTAGTAAAATGACAATTATATATCACTTGTTTATTTAACTTTTTATATCACCAACTTACCTGGCAAGAAATTATTTATTTATATTAATTTTTAATAAATAACTTAAAAAAATTGAATTAATCATAAATTTCTATATAGAGAATGATACAAAATGATTCTGTAATAAAAAGATATCAAAAATCCAAAATATATACTCCTTCCGTCCCAAAATATTAGTCCCTTATTCCATTTTTCATTGTCCCAAAATATTAGTCCCTCTTCAAAAATCAAGTACAAAAATAATATAAATTTCTTATTTTACCCTTCTTTTAAATTAATAAACAACATAAAAAGTACAATTATGCATTGATATTCTCAAAAAATGTACTATCAAAAGGATAATTTTGGAAAATCAATTTTTTTTAAATGCAATAATTGTACTATCAAAAAAAGTTTAATTCTCCAAAAGAGACCATTATTTTGTGACGGAAGGAGTATCAATTTTTAAATTAAAAAAAGTTTGTTTTTCTCTCTCTCCTCCTTCCGACTTTCCCATCTTATAAATGCATCTCTGCTCATCGCCCTGCTTCTCAAGCAGACACCACCAACTTTCCCATCCCTTCTCCTCCAACCTCCTCCCAAACAAAAAACAAAAAAAATTGAGCTAAACAAAGGAGAGAAAAACTACATAAAAAACAGAGAAAATTCATGAGGACCACAACAATGGCAACAACAACATTTTCGCCGCCAGCGACCCTAGAAAGGTCGCCGTGGCACTCTCCGGTGCCGTACCTTTTCGGGGGACTGGCGGCGATGCTGGGTTTGATAGCCTTCGCCCTGTTGATCCTTGGTTGTTCTTATTGGAAGCTTTCTACCCATTTGGAAGAGAGCCGTGGAGGTGGCGGCGACAGAGATCTCGAGGGCGGTGAAGACAAGTCCGGCGGTAGCGCCACAGTGGCTTTGCCTGTTTTGGAAGAGAAAGTATTGGTGATAATGGCTGGAGATGTCAACCCAACTTTCTTGGCCACACCCATCTTTAGCAAAGCAGCTTTTTTTGGTGATGATGGTAAAGGGAAGAGTGAGAATGAAGAGAGAGAGAAGACAAAACAATAGATGGGTCATCACGATCAGACCACCACCACCACAACAACAATGGAAAGTATAGAGTTTGAAGAGACTCAAGGAAACCAAGAGAGCCAAGAGTGAGCTCAAATCTTTTTGAGAAAGAGATCTTTGTTTTCTTCCCTCATTTCATTTTTTTTTTGTCTTTGTTTTTGCTTTTGGCCTCTTTCGGATATGTGTATTTTTGTTGAGATGAACATGAAATAGAAGTTTGAAGCTTTTTGCTTCCATTTTCTTGCAAAACCATCTTTCTTTCCTTTTTCCTATTATATCCGAATACATATGAATTATTTTATAACTCGATCAAATTTATTTACTACTATTAAAAAAATTTACATCAAAATCAACACCCAAAAACTAGTTATATATATATATATATATATAGCTCTCTGGTGGTGATTGATGTCATTGGCCTTGAAAGATCAAATTGCTCAAAATTGCACTAACTTTAAATCCATGTCATGATTTAAATTTTAAATATTTTTATAAATATTTGTTAATGTTTATGATAAATTATTATTAGTGCATATTAAAGGAGGAATAATTCTTACAGGTATTTGGAATGATTTAAATTAGAGATATTTGGAATGATTTAAATAAATATATTTTTTAATTTTTTATGAAAAAAATGTAAAAAAATAAAGAAATGATACGATATAAATAAATATATTTATATAAATTATGTCAAAAACTTCTTAATAATCACTTTTTTTTTTTTTAATTATTCAATAATAGTCATGTATTTGATAAGAGAGAATAAAGGGGAGAAAATGATAAATATGATTGCATATATTCTTAATAGGCCATGCATAGGTCTTCCAGATGCGATTGCCATCAATTGGACAGGCCTTGAAGGAGGAGCGGGGATGAGGAGAATGAAGGTGAGTTTTTTCGCTGTTATTGTTTAAACAGCAATGATTTATCTTTTTAATTTGAAAATTTTAATTGAGTATTAATGAGATAAAAATTTTAAAAAAAAATTAAGATTAAAAAATCACATTAACGAGTAAAGCCTACTCTTAGAACTCTTTTAAAACTTTCAAATATTTTATTGTTAAAAATATATGTACTTTTTTGTGTCTTTTGTTAATTTGTTTCTTGGGACGCCATAAAGTTGGTGGAGGACAGGCAGAGTGGGGAGGGTGAGAGCAGTAAGAATGAAGCGTATTGTTATTTTAAGCGGTGTTTGGGAAAATTGGTAAAAAGTTAATTTTTTAATTTTTTTTTATTTTTTGATTAAAAAAATTTGGTTTTTTGTAGTTTTTTTTGGTAATTTTTTGTGTAAAAAAATCAAAAAATTGACTTTTTACTAAGTTCTCAAATTGCCCCTAATTAAGGTTTGGTTTTTCTCCCGTCTGAACAAATTGGAGAGTGCTATTGAACTCGTAAAGGTTCACCACGATTTTATTTGAATAATTTGAATCGTTCAATATGTAAAACTCGTCGAGTATTATATACTAATAAAAAATCACATTGATAGAATATCGATAGTTACGTGATCACATTAGTTTTGTATAAAAAAATGAATTGTGAAAAAATAAATAGTTGACAGAAATCTGATCCGATAAAATACTTATCAATACTCTATCAATGTGATTGTTTACAGACATATAATAGTCGACGAATTTTACATATTGAACGATTCGAATAATTGAAGCGACACACTCTCCAATTCGATCATAGATGGGAGAAAAACCAATCCCTTTGATTAAATTGTTAGACTTATGTTTCAAATATGATGGTGTAGTAATTAATTAAATATGTAGTGTAATTTTTTATATATATTTTGTAATTATTAATTAATTATTCCTTTAATAAATCATTAAATTTAAAAAAAATTGTCTAAAAGTGTAAATTTTATATTATTTTTCATGAATGAATTAATGGGGTGAGATTTGGTTTGGATGAATGGATGAAGTTTTTTGGTGGCATCTCCCTCTCTCTCAGATGATATTGATGCTGACGTTGGTGGCGTGTTGTCCGTGCTATGCGGCGGTGCGAAACCCGCTTAGCTATTTAATGCAACTGCGCTTCGTCATTCATTAATTAGGGGGTTTGTACAAGTGGCACCTCATAATAATGGAACGTGTTACCTGTATTATTTGATATATCAATAAGGCACTGGTTTTTTTTTTTTTTCCTCACAGATCAAATTGAAAGATATTATTGAGTCCATAGAGGTCGTAACGGGTTTTATTTTAATAATTTAAATTGTTTAATATATAAAAATTATCGAGTATTATATGTTTGTAAAAAATTACGTTAATCGAATATCGATAATTATCTCATCAGATCAATTTTCTATCAACCGTTTATTTTTTTATTGTTTATTTTTTTTATATAAAATTGATTTGATTACATAACTATCGATATCCGATCAATATGATTTTTTACAAACATATAATACTCGACGAATTCTTCACATTGAACTGTTCGGATTATAAAAATGGGTCTTGTGATAAATCCTCACGGGCCCAACAAAACTCTCGAGTTCGATCTGGGACTTGAGGGAAGCCAAACCCTATTAATAAATGTATTAACATATGTGATGATATTATTATTAATCTCATCTATTATATACATTACAAATATTCAAAACTTTTAAAATTATGTCACATTTTTTATTAACACACTAATTGATATATTAATTAATATATATAAGGTTATTCATACTGAAAACAACAAACACATGCCGTCTCATTTGAAAAGTTAGTTATTTTAATTAATTTTTAATTTTTTTACTATTTTAATTTAATTAAGAAAGTTATGTTTTGAAAGAAAAGTTGGCTACTATTAATACACTAATTTTTTTTATATAGTTAATTTGATGGTTATGAAAGAAAAATTAAAATAATTATGAATTTGAAGTGTTACTTTATTTCATTGATTATTTTAACCTTTTTTTTATTGATTATTTAACTCAAATAACCCTTTCCAATCAAGGCCAATAAATATTAACCACATAAATATATTACTTAAAAAAATCATTTTTCTGGCACTGTAGCCTTTTTGTAATGAAAAAGTTTAAAAACACATAAAATTTTAAATACATAATGCATAGATCATAGATGTTCTATTTGTGAATTTTGTGTTTGAAATTTTCTATGCATGTAATGTAATTGAATAGTAATCAGCTTGTTTAGTTTGGAATTTCAAGATTTAATTTTCAGAAAATTAAATTCTTTTATTTTCAGTGTTTTTTTTATTTTCACTGATTTTTTTTAATATTTTAAGCAATTTTTTTAATTTTTAGATATACCTAACATAAATACACTTAAAAAGTATAGTATATGTGAAAATAGCAAAATTATAAAAAAAAAATAGGAGAGTTCAGTACATTTTTCATGTTATTATGTATTTATTAATTTTTAAAATATTTTGTATAAATATTTTACTTTTTAAATATATCTAAGTAAGATACATCTAAAAAAAAGAAAAAGTCTAAAAACACATAAAATTTTAAATACATAATGCATAGATCATAGATGTTCTATTTGTGAATTTTGTGTTTGAAATTTTGTATGCATGTAATGTAATTGAATAGTAATCAGCTTGTTTAGTTTGGATTTTTAAGATTTAATTTTCAGAAAATTAAAATTTTTTATTTTCAGTGTTTTTTTTATTTTCACTGATTTTTTTTAATATTTTAAGTAATTTTTTTAATTTTTAGATATACCTAACATAAATACACTTAAAAAGTATAGTATATGTGAAAATAGCAAAATTATAAAAAAAAAAACGAGAATTCAGTACATTTTTCATGTTATTATGTATTTATTAATTTTTAAAATATTTTGTATAAATATTTTACTTTTTAAATATATCTAAGTAAGATACATCTAAAAAAAAAATTTGTTTAAAATTTAAAAAATATTCACTAAAAATAAAAAACATGAAAAATAAAAAACTCAATTTCTAAAAAATTAAAACCAAACATGCTGAATAGTCTTTCAATTCACTAAGCCTCCGTTTGGGAAGTGGGTTAGTTTTTTGGCTTTTTTAGCTATTTTAGCCTGGGCTAAAAAGCCTGGTTTGGAAAGGACTTTTTGACTTTTTTGACTTTTTAACTTTTTAGTGGGGTGGCTTCATGTTAAATTACAAAATTGCCCTTCTACTATTTTTTGTGGAACGGACCTCATTACCTCTTTTGTCCTCCACGTCAGATTAGCCATGAATGGACCGATTTTTTTTTTTTTTTTTTTTTTTTTTGTAAATGGTTTTTTCAAGGGGTTTTTTTATTTTGATTTTCATTTTAATTTTAATTTTTTTTCATTTTCTGTAAAATGATAAAAAGTGAGGTTTTATTTTATTATCCTGTATATTTTAATTTTTTTTTTTACAAATGGTTTTTTCATGTGTTTTGTATTTTAATTTTAAATTTTTTAAAAACATAATAATAATAATACTAATTTTAATTTTAAATTATAATTTTAAAATAATGATAATAATTTTAATTTTAATTTTAATTTTAAATTTGAATTTTAAAATAATAATACTGCTAATAATTTTAATTTTTAGTTTTATTTTATTGTCCTATGTATTTTAATTTTTTTCATTTTATTTTCAAAAATGAGTTTTCATGTGTTATATTTATTTGTAAATTACATGGCGAATGGTAAATTTAAGTTTTTATGTTTTTTTTATAAATATTTTTGAATGAGGCGTATTTTTGTCCTTATTTTTTTTTTAATTTATGTTTTTGTCATTTTTTTATTTGTACACATTAATTTTTTTTTTATTTATTTGTAAATTACGTGGCAAATGGTAAAAATTTATTTGTAAAAATTTAAATAATTTAAATATTCAAAAAATTATTCTAACAAAAAAAATTAAATAATTTAAAATGTTAATATTTTAAATTTAAAAACAACTCTACACTCAAATTGTAACCAAACACATAAAATAAAACTCAAGTAAATTATTTTTAAAACTCATAACCAAACACATAACTTGAAACTCCATACTACTTTCACAACTCTACACTCAAATCATAACTAAATACATAACAAAAAAATTCAAATATTTAAAACTATTTTTATGAAATAGAGTTTGAATTTATTTTTATAAAATATTTTAACAAAAAACAAAAAAATATTTTTAATTTTTGTTTTTTCAACTTTCTTTGTTTTTTCTGGGAAAATGTGTTTTTTGGGATTTTTTTTTTCTTTTTTTTGGTGCTGCCGCATGCCCCTCTTTCATGAGGGGTAGTTTCGTAAATTTCCCTTAGCGTTTCTTCT